TACGTCGACTTTGTCGTAAACTACGCAAAACTTTCGACACGGATGAGGCTTTGTCTCGAGCCGAGTACAAATTCAACACTTGTACCCAGCGATCTAGCGAGACATTATTCCAGTTCATATCAAGGCTAGAAACTCTAGCTGACGAGCTGGTATATCTACGAGCTGGGCCGAGGGAGTCTACCCTCAAACGACGTCTGTATGATGGTCTATCATCCAACGATCTGAAGGAGAAGGTCGAGACCAAGGTGGGCAACCACAAAATATCATATAAGAAATTTGTGGATCGACTGTCAGAGCATGAGAGGAGGCGTCAGGGCCGACTCCAACGCTCATCTACGGTCAACAAGCCCAGTGGTAGATCGACAGGTCGTCTACATGTCATCGAGTGTGAAGACGATCCTCAAGAAGAGACCTATTGCCATGCCGTTGGCAGCGATGCCTTATCTATAAAGTGCTATCGGTGCCTCCAGAGCGGTCACCCAGCTCGACTCTGCACTGAGCCCAAGGTGGTCGATCTACAGAAAAGATGGTCTAAGTGCGGCAATCCAGAGCATCAAGAGACAGACTGCAAGGTCCCAGTCAACAGGTTATTCTGCCAACGTTGCCTGAAGAAGGGACATCTAGCGTATGTCTGTACTGCTCCTACACCAGCAGATCAACCGAAGAAGGTGGGACCTGAGCCTAAGAAAGATCCTCCTCAAACACCCCCATCTAACTCTACGGTTATCCCTTCTGGAGCTGGTGCGAACGTCATCCATGAGGATAACGCCTATGATGGACTATGCATAGAGCCTGTAACATCTAGCGATGTCGACGTTCCCTTTCGAGCCATGGCCTCTACTGTTCCGCCAGTATCTAATCGCTCAAACCATAGAGTATCTATGGTGGTAGTTGATCTATGTGTGTACGGAACCACTCGATCCGTACTCTTCGACACGGGCGCAGATATCAGCCTGATTGCTCTATCTACTCTGAAGAAACTCGCTCCCAACAAGAAGATTACTATCCCACCTAAGTCCTCTATCGGAAGAGTCCATGTTGCTAATGGCGGGCAACTAGACATCTTAGGTAAGGTCAGTCTACCCATCGGGAAGGGCACCTACACTGTCACCGATACCTTCTTGCTAGCATCCGACCATCTAAGCACACCTATTATTATAGGCTGCTCCACGATGGCCAAGCTACATGCAGTTATCTCCTTCAAACCGGAGGGATGTATCGAGGTGAAGATCGGCCATACATCCACTACGACCCCACAAGTGGAGCCTTGTGATCTAGTATCCCCCAGATCGGTGGAGTACATACGCAAGGTAGGCATCATGAACGTCATGGGCGGTCGAACGTCGAGAGACGAAGATCTACTATCGCTCTCCGCCAAAGGGACCCGAAATCGAAGCCAGTCTTACGATTTGATCGATACGCTCAAGGCATATA